AAAATATAGCTTATGCCCTAAGGATTGATCCACTCTAGGCTTCCTTTCCTAGAGATTCTCTCTAGGGAAGCCAGACTAATTATCGTGTTTGTTTTCTATACCCATAGAACTTTCTGGGTTGAGGACAACAGAAAGCAAGAATGTCATTGTTTTCTCTCTCACTTTTATTTTTTTCTTTTAATGCCTGCATTTTCAATACAGAATAGAGAAATTGATTGAACAATCCAGCAGAAGGATCCCTGGTTTCATTTGTAAACTCTTAGTTTGGTGGTGCTAATACATCTCTAACAGCTTTCCCTTGACTCTCATATTAAAGAAAGTGGGCTGGGAAGGGTTACAACTTATTTTGAGGAAAGTTGGGAGCCATCAAATGCTTTAAAAGGAGTGAGACATGATTACATTTGCACCTCTGTGTAGTCATGGTGGGAGCTCTGGTGGCGTAGTGCCTAAGGCATTTGACTGCTAACCAGAAGACTGGAGGTTCAAACCCACCAGACACTCCTTGGAAGGAAGGGTGGTCAATCTACTTCCATTGTGATACTGCCTCAGAAACCCAAGGAGTGGTCACTATGAGTTGGATCCAACTCCACGGCAGTGACTTTGGTAGTCTTGGTGCATATCACTGGAGCAGCTAGTATAGACATCTGACTATCTGACTAAAAAGGTTGTTACCACCATTCATCTGTCAGTTTGTCATACTGCAGTGGCTTGTGTGTTGTAGTGAGGCTGGAGGCTATGCTGTTGGTATTTCAAATACCAGCAGCGTCACCCATGCTGGTCAGATTTCAGTGGAGTTTCCAGAGTAGGAATGCTTTAAACAGGGTGAGACATGATATGTTATACACTTCTGTGTACTCATGGTGCATATCACTGGAGAAGCTACAGTACAAGTCTGATTAAGAATGCACAAACCACTTAAAAGGCATCTGCTAATTCCAGGAAGAAAGCACTGGCAGGAGGGTGGTGGTGGTGGAGGAAAAGGAATACACTGATTATAGAAAGTATTAAAACCATTATCACAGGATAAGTGATCATATGAAGGAAATGATTCTTAAATTTTCTGCTTGTGTAAATAGGTGAAGGGGAACATAGAATGACTGTATCTTTTCAAGTATTGTGATAACACATTTTTCAGGCACAGATTGTTGTGACTCTGCTTCACAACATGTACCTTTGCATGCTTAATCTCCCATTTTCCATGTGTTGGAGCAAACTGTGGATTGTTTTTCCTTAAAGAGTCCATTGGTCTTGTCAGCAGAAACTCACTAGACTACCTCAACACTAGTAGCTAGATGGGGAGGGTGTGTGCACATATGCTAATCCATCTGGCTCCTTTAGTTTCATAAGCAGTATTCTTTGTGAGGAAATCTTTGCTTGCACGGCAAATTATTTTCATTCACTGTATTCCTATATAGGCAATTTCTTGGTAAAATAGTGTTAATATTTTTAAACTTCTTGAAGATGAAGTTGGCTGAATTGATTTCAGGGAAGTTGTAGTAATGTATACTTCCATCAGTAGTGTATTTGGATGGTCCATGAAGGTTTATTTTATTCTCTGCCAATTTAAAAAACAAAATGGCATACTGGTCTAATATTTCTGTCATTAAACATTAGGAGGTATAACAGTTTTTCATAGTTATTTATCATTTGTATTTCTTCTTTTGATTTTATCATTTGATACTTTTTGCCAATTATTTATAGAGGTTTTATTTTTCTACATTTTATATTAAAAATCTGTGTACACCATTTATCTGCATTTTAGTTATTTCAAATATGTGTGCCTTTAACATACTGCTACTGCTTTTCTCCCTGTATTTTTATATATTCCCAAGTTTTGTTTTCTGTCTTCTACTTTCATGATATTAGCTATTCTTTTAGAACATTTTCAGTTGAATATTTGGTTAATTTAGCTTTAAAATTTATTATTTTATCTTTCATTGCAATTTGATCATATTATCATTGTAAACCCTTGGCACTAGTTAAAACAATGTTATTAAATTTATACATATGAATGAAATATATGGGGTGGAGGATTGTGAATGGGAAGTAGTCCTTTCTACTTTGGGAGTAGAACCACACCTTAAGTGTAGAACTAAAGTTATATGATGTTCTTTTCCATATTTTGCCAAAAAAAAAAAAAAAACGAGCAGCTTTCCTAAGCACCTATGAGAAAAGGAGTTGGGGGGAAAATAAAAACTATAGAAAATATACAAACAACAAAGAATATTATACCCATCACTGCTGTTGAGTCAGATCTGACTCATAATGACCCCTCCTTGGGTTTCTGAGGCAGTATCATTACAGAAGTAGATTGCCCAATCTTCCTTCCAACGAGTGGCTGGTGAACCACCAACCTTCTGGTTAGCAGTCAAATACCTTAGGCACCATGCCGCCAGAGCTCCTATTATATGCATATATTTTTATTATACCCATATGCCTAGTTAAATCTATTTTGGGAGTAGTTTTTTCTCAGGCAAATGTCCCTAAAGGACATTTGGAACTATGTGAGACATATTGTTATTGTTATTGTTGCCTTCAAAATTATTAAAGATTGAATGTAGGCATATGCAAAGGACACATGATTCTAAGAAGCCTACAAGAAACTCTCTCCTAGTTTCTGAAGTACCTGTCCACTTGGACAACTGCATGAATATATCCCACAGCAAAGTAGGTCATGGGGGTCATAAGTGGAAGGGAAATTTTAGCAAGTTCAGCTGCTTCTGTACTGAGTGGACTCAGTCATGGGAACTCCAATTCTATTCAAGAAGCTCAGTTGTCTAGCTGACAGTGACTGCAGAACCAAGGACAGAAATCTCTGAGTCACGTTTGGAAAGGACTTGGTGAAGAAGTTTCACTTTTGTCTATGGCATAAGAGAACAGAAGGGATTGTGGGCCCAGATACAGGTAAAAGTATAGGCAAAGGTTACGAAGCAAGTTATAGGTCAGTATCTGGGATGTGAGGTCATGCCCCTTGATTCCACTGACTGCAGCTGCCTGGAGCCAATCCTGGTTAGGAGGAACAGAAACAGTGTAGTGACACTAGGTGGCAGAAGAATTCCACTATCGCCATTTCCAATTTTGAGTCAGTTTTCCTGATTTTGATAGGACCTCAGGGTGTCTAGTTGAGCTGATGTTCCAGATTCATATGAGGAAAAACATAACTTCAAAACAGGTCCTTAGTCACCCTTCAAGCCATGAACTGAACTCACCCCTATAGCTAAACTTTAGCTTATGTGGGGAACAGTAACACCAGGGAGGTATGCACTCCTTTGAACAATGAACCAGAGAAGATTGATTAAAAGAGCAGCATTTGTGAAGAGGTAAAGCTCAGACGCAAGAATGGGTAGGAAAAAAGGAATGGAAGTGGTAAACACAGGTAGGAAGTGGGAAGAATGTTGTTACATTGTGGGGACTGCATTCAATGTCACACAACAAAATGAGTGTGAACAGATAAATGGAAAACCAATTTTCCCTGTAAACTTTCACTCAAATCACAATAAAATTTTATTTTAAAGGTCTGTATATACAAGATCCTGATGTGTGCAGGGATTTCTTTCTAAAAGCACTTGGTCCAGTTCACCACCCACCCTCTCATCACCCACACCAAGGCTTTCATCAGGGTTGCCTGTGGTTATAACCACTTCAACCATTGCCATCTGACTGCCCTAGTATATTAGGATTGACCCCACCCATTCACAGGGACTTGCCCTAACAAAAAGACCTCCATGTAACTAGAAATCCCCTCAGGTACATTCTGCAAGTTCACTGAAGCCTGGTTGTTCCTCTCCCTGTTACCAGGTTGGGTATTTTGCAAGGAGCCTGTTTCTAACACAATTATCAGTATGTTGATTAAATCTGTAACTCCAAACCCCAGTCCCCTGGTTCACCATTGAGACTTCAATTTCCTGAGCTGCTAGTCAACCATCTTGACCATACAAATATCCTATCAGTCAATTTCTTCATAAGAGTAACACCTGGATATTTGTGTTACTGCAGATAGATGGTCCTCTTTTCCATGGGTCCTTAAGGAAATGTTCTGCTTTATTTTATAGCTTTTCCAAATGTGGACATTTGCAATAAAATTCATATACTTGATCTGTAGACTCTCCTCACCTATAAAATGAGGATTATGATGTTTATTTTGAAGGATGATCATGAGGGTTTAATTTATGATATATCTAGCCACTCCTAGGAAGGAAGATGGGGCAATCTACTTCCGTAGTGATACTGCCTTGGAAACGCAAGGAGGGGTAGCTATGAGTCAAATCCAACTCAGTTGTAGTGAGTTTAGTTTTTGGTTTAACCCCTTCTTTATCCAGTCTCATCAACTTAAGGCATTTGGCCACATTTACTGTTGGTTTAATGGGAATCTTATGTTTCATCATCAATCATTTTAAGGACAAATATAGATTTCTCCTTGGAAAACAGCTTCATCTCTTTGATTTTTACTATCTTTCATAGTAGTGTCAGTATTCATGTCTATTCAGAGTGTATAGCAAAATGTGCTTCCCATCATCTAGAACACAAATTAGAATAAAGACAAAGGACTCCAATTTTATGCTGAAAGTATATATATATATAGATATATAGATATAGATATTTATTTTCTGCAGACAAATTTTACTGGTGAGTCATTTTAACTTTCAAAGAACAGCCTATTTCAATACTACATAGTCTGTACCAGCATGAGATGGATAGGTTCTTGATTCATTTCACAAAGCCAACACAACTTTGATAACAAAACATAACAAGTATAACACAAAACAGGAAACTACAGATTTCACTTAAAAATATAGATGCAAAAATACCAAATAGAACAGTAGCCAATTGAAACCAACACCACATTAAAGTGTACAAAGCTTTGGCAGTTATGAAACCAAATTCAAAATTGAAACTTACACACATAGAACTGGAACATAAATAACAGAACAAAATGTTCCCCCAATCTGTAAGTGAATTCTGGCTGGGGGCTCCAAAAGAACAATCTCTTTGACACCTCACTAGTGGGGAGGGGAACTGCTGGTGGACCCACCAGCATTATCACCAGCTCCAGCATCATCATCTTCCAAATCTTCAGATTCACATTCGGCCAGCGCTTCCAGGTAATGGAATGGCCAACATCGTGGATCTCTCTTATGAAGCCTGGCCACAAACCTCAGGACAAGCATCTTGCTGGTTTCAAGGAATGCACGAGGGCCCCAGAGGAACTCATATTCTGCTGGGTCAGTGTGGGGAATTCGCCTATACTCTAAGTACATCTGCCTGACAAACACCTCAGTGATAAGCTTCTTTGTATTTCCAAAGAGACCATGTGTCTCCTGGATATCCAACCCTAACTTGGACACAAAGTCAAAGATAAGGTGCTCCCTGACACAATTGCCTCTCATAAAAATGAGACTCAGGACAACCATCAGGAGGCCAATCTTGGGCGTGTCTAAATATGACGCCACTGGTTCATATTTATGACGACCCAGCTTGTTGATGATAATATAAGAGTGGTTTTTTGGATCAATTTCCTTCAATTGATATCCAAAAGCACACTCTAGCTTATGGTTGGCTCGGTTGATGATATCCAAGCACTCATCTTTATATTCACGGATGACAACTCTCACCATCTCTGAGCGCTTGATGGGCACCTTAGCTTGGTCCTTGACCAAGAGGAACTGCACCAAAGCATTTGCTCTCTCATCCAAGGGAGACAATGGCCGAGTCTCCAACTTGGGCTCATCCTGGGTAGCAGTGAGCCCTTGAGAAAGACTTGGGACCTCAGAAAAGATCACAGGTTCAGGAGTCCCTGAACTTTCCCAGAGATTCAGGACCCTCGAGGTGCTTCGGCATTCCCAGGCACTCAGAGCCCAGGAGGTGCTGGGCCCTTCCCAGCCACTCAGGATTCGGGAGGTACTAGGGCCTTCCCAGCCACTCAGACCTTGAGAGGTGCTTTGGCCCTCCCAGTCACTCAAGTTCAGATTGTCCCAAGGCCGTGGGGCCTGCCAGTCATGCAAGGCCAACATATGGCCACTGCTGTCTTCTTGAACATTCAGATGCTTCTTCTTCCGGGCGACTTTGCCTGAGCGGCGCTGTTGGGAGATCTTAGAGGCCCTATCATTGGTGGCTGTTGCCTGGGGGGCAGATGCCAAGGCCATCAGGAAGGTGGGTGCTCCCTTCAATGTTTTTGAAGCATTAGAGTTGGGCTGAGGAGCCCAAGAAACAGCAGGCAGGGCTTCTGCACAGGCAAATGGATCCTGCAGAGCAAGTGGCAGTGACTTCGGGGTCTCTGAGGTGGCAGATGGGCCTTTAAAGGCAATAGAAGAGGCAAGGTGAACCTGGGAGGTAGCTGGAAAGACCTTGGAATTGGCAGTAAAGGTCTCTGATGTAGCAGGCAAGTTTTTCCAGGCAGTTGGCAGGTGTGCCCGGGCAGTTGAAACTGCCCTCGGGGCACAAAAAGTGGCAGCGAAGATCATGCGGTCCTTTGAAGGAGCCTTGCGTTCCTTTGAAGAGGTCCTGCGTTCCTTGGAAGAGGTCCTATTGTCTACTGAAGAGGCCCTGGATTCTCCAGATGGGGGAGTCATCAGTGATTTAGCGGAGCCCATGTGAAAATTTGCTGCCGCTAAGGAGGATGAGGGCTGCCCCTGCATGGCTCCAGGCTGGGTCGGCCAGGAGGGCTGGAGCTGCAGTGGAGGCATCTCTGCTTGCGGACCCGAGGCCTGGGCCTGCTGGGTGGGTAGCTGGATTTGAAGGGCCTTCTGGGAGGGTGGGGCCCCCTGAAAGGGCGGCTCCAGCTGGAGCAGTGGGGGGCCCTGTCTCTGGGCCTCCTGGGCAGGCAGGGGCTGCCAAAAGTGAGCAGGGGCCTTCGGGGCCTGCCAGGCCAGCGCCTGGCCCTGCTGTGTCTCCTGGAACTCCATAGATGTTGGCAACTCTTGTGGCACTGGGGCTTGGCCCTTGGGGGCCTGCCAGATGATGGGAGGGCAATGAGCCACCTGCGGTGCCAAAGGCTGGGCCTGTGGAGCCTGCGGAACAGCAGGTGGCACTGAGGGCACCTGCGCAGGCGGTGGGGCCGCCTGTACCTGCGGGGCCGCCTGCACCTGCGGGGCCGGCAGTCGGGTCTGTGGGGCCTGCCTCAGAGGTGGAGGGGGCGGTAGGGACTGCCAGAGAGGCGGTGGGGTCGCCAGGACCTGAGGGGCTGGCCGAATGGGCGGTGGCCCCTGGCGGATCAGCGGTGGAGCCTGGCGAATCGGGGGTGGGGCCTGGCGCACCGGCGGGGGGCCAGGCCGGATGGGTGGCGGGCCAGGTCGGATGGGCGGCGGGCCCTGGCGCACCGGCGGAGGAGCCTGCCAGGCGATAGCTGGAGCCTGCCAGGTGACCTGTGTGGTCTGCCAGGTCAGGGGTGTGGCCTGCCAGCCTTGTGGAGGGGCCTGCCATCCTGGCGAGGTGGCCTGCCAGGCCGGGGGCGTGACCAGCTGAGCCTGTGGAGCCTGCGGGCCCTGGGGAACCTGCGGAGGAGCCCTTATAACCTGAGACTGGATTTGCAGGATCAGAGGCTGAGCCTGTGGGGCCCAAGAAGCCAGAGGCTGCGCAGGTGTGGCCGCAGGCTGCGGCATCGGAGCTCCTGAAACTGGAGGCTGAGTGATTGGAGCTCTGGAACCTGGAGGATGGATCATCAGGACGCCAGGACCTGGAGGCTTAGCCATCGGGGCTACTGGAGGTGGAGGCTGGGTCATCAAGGCTCCCGGAGGTGGAGGCTGGGCCATTGGAGCTCCTGGAGCTGGAGGCTGGACCATCAGGACTCCTGGAGTCAGAGGCTGGGCCATGAGGACTCCTGGAGCTGGAGGCTGGGCCATCGGGGTCCCCGGAGGGGGAGGATGGGCCATTGGTGTCCCCGGCGGGGGAGGGTGAGCCATTGGTGTCCCCGGAGGGGGAGGATGGGCCATTGGAGTTCCCGGAGGGGGAGGATGGGCCATCGGGGTTCCCGGAGGGGGAGGGTGAACCATCGGGGTTCCCGGAGGGGGTGGGTGGGCCATTGGTGTTCCCGGAGGGGGTGGGTGGGCCATTGGTGTTCCCGGAGGGGGAGGGTGGGACATAGGTGTCCCAGGAGGGGGTGGATGGGCCATGGGGGTTCCCGGAGCTGAATGATGGACCATAAGGACTCCTGGAGCTGGAGGTTGGGCCATCGGGGCTCCCGGAGGGGGTGGAGGATGGACCATCAAGACTCCAGGAGTCGGAGGCTTGCCCATTGGGCCTCCCAGAGGGGGAGGCTGGACCATCGGGGTCCCTAGGGCCGGAGGTTGGGCCATCGGAACCACTGGGGCTGGTGGCTGGCCCTGCGGGGCCTCCCAGACAGGCTGAGGTGCCTGCCAAATGGCCAATGAAGCCTGCAAGTCAATTGGAGGTGGATCCCAAGGGACTGGTGGGGCCCGGGAGGAGGCGGGCGGGGCCCGCATCAGAACCGTAGGGCGGCTATAGACGGGCGGCTTCGGTGCCTCGGCAGGAGGACTCGAATCACCCAGATTCTTACTTAGCTGCGACATGTCCCTTTGCTCTGACAGCTGGTGGGCCTTTTCCTCCGACAGCTGCTGGGCCTTTTCCTCCAGAGAGAAGAGAATGCCTACGTGGCTGCTCAGAGGCTCCCTCCCTGCTGACTGCTGAATAGGAAGTGAGTGCTTCTTGCTCTGCAGCTTTCCGCAGTAAGGAGGAGGGGGGAAGGGGGCTCAATCCCGCCCCCTTCCCCGCCCCCGACCACCACAAGTGGATAGAGCATAGGGGCGTCTACCAGAAGTCCTGGCTAACAGAAGATCCATTCTCACTGTGTCCAGTTCCCAAATACAGCCTCCTCAGTCTCTCCTTGGATGGGTTTTCACAGGAGAGTGACAGGGATAGATCTATTTTTTAGAAAGATAACTGTACTGCAGTGTGAAGTGGGGACAAACCACTGGGAACATGGAAGGCATCCAGGAGGGGGGAGATGATGTGGCCTGGGCTTTGACAGGAACTGGAAGATGCAAGAGGAACATATAGGTAAAGATTTAAGAGGTAGAATAGGTAACTAATATAATTCAATGTAGGGGTAAAGGAGGGGCAGAAGGCATTCATGTCCATCTTGGGAAAGTAGGAAGTTGTGGGTGCCATTTTACTCTCTGAGACACTGAGAGACGCGATGAGGAAATGATTTGATGGGTATTGATTGGGACATAAGGCATTGGAAGTGCTGTAGGACAGCTCAGGAGAGAGGCCTTGTAAGTACTCTTGTGTATGGCCTGGGTCTCAGAAGACACCTGGGCTAGGAGTCAGGAATGGGTATTCCACATGAAAATAAAGCTGTGGGAGTGAATATGTTGCAGAAACAGAATGTTCAGAATGAAAAGTAGAAGAGGAAAAGGAACTCTTGAGAAATGTCTGACACATACACAGAGAGAAAAGGGATTGTTAAAAGCAGAGAGAGAAATAGACACCCTGAAAATTAATATATACTAGAAATCATTAGAAGTATTTTTTAGTACAAGGAAAACTTCCAGGATGGCTGGAATAAGAGATGATATATGTCTTGTTGGTATTCACCAGCTGTAGAGAAGAAAAGAAACTGTGATAAAGAAAACAATCAAAAAAATTGCTAGAAAATAATAAAAATGAATGAATAGATCCAAATTGATAATAAAGAAAACAGACAGAGAATAAAATGGAAAATTACAGGAAAATCAACTCGGGGGTAAACAAATAAATAAACAAACAAACCCTGTTATAGTCCAATAAATTCTGATTCGTAGTGACCCTATGAGAGAGCAGAACTATCCTATAGTGTTTCCAAAGCTGCAATCTTTACTGAAGAAGAATGCCATATCTTTCTCCTATGGGGTGGCTGATGGGTTTGACCTGTCAGCCTTTCAATTAGCAGCTGAGCACTTAACCACTGCGAAACCAGTACTCCTGCCATGGCAAAAAGAAATCCACTTAAAAATGGGCTGATGGTGTATCAAAAGATAAAGTAAAAGATATAAAAAATATTGGATAATAATATACTACTTTATGCTGAAAGAAAATCACAGTCTGAGCTTAGTAGCGCAGCTTTTTAGAAATATGTATTTAAGAAACTTAGGTTGCCATTGAGTCTACTCTGACTCATTACAACCCCATGTGTGTGAGAGTAGACTGCTCCCTAGGATTTCCAAAGGCTGATTTTTCAGAAATAGATCACCAGGCCATTCTTCTGTGGTACCTCTGGGTGGATTTCAACCGCAAGACTTCCCCTGCTAACCATTAGTACCACCTAGGGAAAATATACAAAGAACTACAAACAAAGTGTGATGAGTATAAGAGTGTTCACAGCCTCTGGCAAGAGTCCAAAGTGACACAAAACGTGGAATATGCCACAAGGGGGCAGAGGAGGATGGTGAAGGGCATACCTTAATCCTGCTGAAGTACCCTTAGCCCGTTTCCCTCAAATATGGTAATTTATAGATCCCTAGTGAAGACATTGTACACTCCCTAAACTCCATATTCCCTGGTGCTACAAAATACCTCAAGTGTTTGGTTTTAAAAAACAGAAATTTACTTTCTTACGGTCCTGAAGATACATGTCCAAATCAGGATTTCGGCCACGTCATTCCTTCCTTGTTAGTAGCCCTGGTCATTTCCTGGTTTCTTTGGCTTGTAGAGGATCTTCATAAGGCACCATTCCTCTAACGTGATTTGGAAAATCAATGTGAGTAGATAAGAAAAAAGAAATAAATACATAGTGGAATATTGATATCTCTTTG